CAGTCGGCCATGAGCTTGTCTCTGGCCTCGCACAGATTGAGCCGCACCTCCTCGGGCTGCTGGCCGAACAGATAGTCTGCAGGGAGACGAGGAGGAGATGGGTGGTTACGTCACAAACCTCACATACCCACTTCTTTATCAGTCGGCTTTGCTTCTGATGAGCATCTTTCAGTGCCCTGCATTAGCCACAGTCACAACAGTCCAGCACAAGAGCAGCTGATCCAATCGCATGTGTTTAAACCGGTAAACTCCTGTAAACTTTTCAGTCCAAGCATCCAGTAAAAGAATGCATTCAAACAGAAGTTCCGTTTTTTTAACAAACAGTTAAGACCGATTTCATCAGAGATTGAGTCACATCGAGATGTCAGTAAATTATTATTTTCAGCATGTATTTGGCTTAAAAGCATGAGTGTTTTATACTGGATGCTGGCTGAAGGAGTTTACTAGAGGTTCTGACAAAATGTTAATTGTTGCAGTCTATTTAATGCAAAATCTTCACCTCTTCTGTGGCTATTTTTATTAATAATAAATTAATATTAATGAACTAATATAAATTTTATGATGATCTTTACTTTGACAATATGCAAATACTACTGGCCCATTTTGGGGTGAGCTAAATATGCAAGACTAGTCTTACATGTCACTGTTTATAACACGGAGTGTTTATCCTTTGCTGGGTCGCTTTAAATAAATGGGGGCATAAATTAAGAGTATATACCCACTTCTCCAGGCACCACTACACCAATGACCAGAAGTATTACATAATCAATATTTATTGATAGCTGCCTTTATATTTTAGAAGTGTAGGTGTCACTAATTTTGGGAGAAATTGACTTCAGAAAGACTGAAAAGCCTTTAGATTACACTTGCAGAGCTAAACTCTTAAACTACAGGTGAGGACTGTAACCACCAGTGCCGGGGAAAGTTACTTTTAAAAGTAATGCATTACAATGTTGCGTTACTCCATAAAAAAAGTAACTAATTACGTTACTTAATTACTTTTTATGGAAAGTAATGCATTGCGTTACTTTTTAAATCTGGACATGGCTTGCTTGTTTGTTTTTAAAATAAAAAAGTTATATTTTTGGCAAATATAAAAGCCTTTTCACACCAAAAGTGAAATGAATGCGCCTCAGGCTGAAGGGAACGTACAGTAGAATGCAGAAGAAGAAATTCAACACACTTCAGCAATAAACAAAGACACAAATGTTTGTCTAGAGTAATGTGTGATTATTAGTACGCTTGAACTGCATCATCGAAGCTCAGAAAAAAATAGAATGGGATTAAACACATAAAGCATATTTGTGTTGTTTAACATTTAATTATTGCAGGTTTGCATCATATTCTGAGTTGCATTATTTTGATTCATTTTGAGGAATACTGAATCTGTGTTTGTTTTTGTGAGTGTGTGAGATGAATTAATGCATATTCATATTTATTTGAGAACTACAGTAACATCTTCTGATTTCTGTCACCATGGGGACAGGAGAGCTGTCAATCAATAAATTGACTCACAGTTAATACAAACCAATACAAGAACAGCTGACCATAACCTAACCCTGCTGTTCAATGATCAATGAGCTGATCACAGCACAGATTCTTTGATTTCTCATAATATCTCAATAGTTTCCCAACACACAGTATTTCAGTGAGCTCACTTTATAATGAACTTTCATCATGTCAATTATAGACATTTATCAGGACCTGTAAATGTAATTCTTTGCAAATAAACACCTTAAACACACAAGCACACTATAAACACGTCGTAAGCTTGTGAAAGTGTGGATCTGTAGCTCAATGCACGCGTCCAGATGAGAGTTTGTTCACAGGCCGTGATGAAGGTCAGATGTTATCCGTCCGGAGAAATCATAAAGTTGCCTTCCTCTGAAACTCCAGCAGTGAATGAAGAATAAAGATGAGGCGCTGATGCACGCTGCGATTAGCTGAGACGCTCAAGGACACAGGCTTTATCAGCACATATTATCCAGCTTTGAGACGGCTTACAGACTGGTTATGGTACATCATGAACTGAGTGAGAGAACAGGTACACAGTATTTGACTTTATTAATAAAAGATAAAACCTCATGAATAATAAAAGATAAAAAATCACGAGTGATGTTCTAGCATTGTAAAACCTAAAAAAAGGCTGTAAATCTCTTAACAGCAGCTCAGTTAAACCAGCACACAATAAAAATAGTAAATAATGAAACTAGGTCAACGGAACCGGAAGTGCCTCCCATAAAATAAACCACAGCAGGCTTGTTGTGCGTTTACACTTCAAGCAGCTCGGATCATCAGTCAATCAGAACACGGCGTGTTTACACTTGTCTTTTCAATGTGTGTGTGTGTGTGTGGACAACATCTGGATACAGGTCGCATGTTACTGCCAAGTGTAAACGCAGCTGTAGAGGAGCGGTTCTCAATCCTGATCCTGGGGACACACCTGATTCAACACGCGTGATTCAACACGCCTGATTCAACCCGCCTGATTCAACACGCCTGATTCAAC